CTACTCATCCTCCCCTCACTTTCATGTCATTAGATGGACTAAATTCACGCGGCTACCGGACGAGCTCGACCCAGCAACGGAAACAGAACAAGCGGAGGACGAAAAACGAGGGCAGGAGGAGAAGGAGGAGCATGAGAAGATGGACGGCAAGACTGAAGGGAAGGAGAGCAAGAGAGAAGAGGAGGAGGAGAGGATCTCTCAGGAGAAGGGGATGAAGGAGGAGAAGAAGGTTACAGAAGATCTCCTTGCGTTTCAGGTACTCCTCCTACTCGTCCTCCAGCTACTGCTGCTCCTGCTGCTACTCCTGCTCCTGCTCCTGCTCCTGCTCCTGCTCCTGCTCCTGCTGCTGCTGCTGCTGCTGCTGCTGCTGCTCTCCTGAGCATCGTTGACGCTGCACAGCCCGCAGAGAAATTCCTGGGGTCGAGGAAGGGGATGGTGTTCAAGATGGGAGAGTTCGGGCTGGGTTACTACAAGGATGTACAGCAGGTGAGCAGCAGGTGGACGGCGGAGAAAGGAGGGCGTGAGGGGGAAGGAGCGCAGAAGGAGGGAGAGGAGGAACAGGATATGACAAAAGACGATGCCAAGGAAGGGAAGACCAGCGAGGGGAGGAAGGAGGAGGAGGTGGTGGAGGAGGAGGAGAGCGTGAAGGAGCAGACTGATCAGCCCCGTGCGGGCCCTGGCGAGGGGAGGGCGAAGGAGACGGAGGGGAGGAGAGGGGGAGAGGAGGAGCGCAAGGAGAAATCCGTCCCGAAGCTGGGCTTCACAAATCACATCATGTTCGATCTTGATTGATGTTCATAAACCTTACAGACATGCATAGCAACATCCAACTCTTCTAGCCAACTTGCTTCCTTCTTACCATCGTCATCGCCTTTCATCGCTGAAATCTCCCAATCTCAAATCACACTTTGCGATCCTGATCATTTTCCTCCTCCTCCTCCTCCTCCTCCTCCTCCTCCCTGTTCATATTCCCCTTTCTTAATGTTTCACTCGTCGAGACGCAAGTCTATGAGAGCGTAAGGATGCGATCGGTAGGCTTCAATCTGTGAGGACAACAGAACAAGAAGAGCAAGAAGAAGAAGAGTCAGTTGCGAGACAAGAAATCAAAGAACATCTCACGATCTGCTTCTCCACCTCAGTTGATAACTTGGTCTCTTTGTCAACGTAGACCTTCAGGTCCTACAGCCGTCTGTTAATTCCATTGCCTTTGCCATATCATCCTCTTCCTCCTCCTCTTCCTCTACCTCATCCTCTTCCTCATCATCATCATCTCCATCATCATTTCCATCATCATCTCCATCATCATCTCCATCATCATCATCATAATCTACGTCATCATCATCATCATCATCATCATCATCATCATCATCATCATCTCGATCATCATCATCATCATCATCATCATCTTCAGGGTCTCCATTTCAATCTGAATCATAATCTTTTCCATAACTGCTTTCATCGTTTTCAGGGACCTTGGGACCACCACCATCACAACCAACACCATCCTTGTCATGAATTTGGTCGACTTTTGTGTCTGCGGTTGATGATTGACTTCCTTTTAAATTGGTCGTCCAGTAATGAGCTGAGCGCTCTACGGAGGATTGATGAGGCGAACCAACAGATGAATGGAGCAACAGGTCTTGCAAGGAAGATGAAGATAGAAACACGTCAC